TGTAGATCCAGGACTCAGGCTGTAGATCCAGGACTGAGACTGTAGATCTAGGACTGAGGCTGTAGACCCAGGAGTGAGGCTGTAGACCCAGGACTGAGGCTGTAGACCCAGGACTGAGGCTGTAGACCCAGGACTGAGGCTGTAGACCCAGGACTGAGGCTGTAGACCCAGGACTGAGGCTGTAGACCCAGGACTGAGGCTGTAGACCCAGGAGTGAGGCTGTAGACCCAGGACTGAGGCTGTAGACCCAGGACGACACCAACGAGGACTGAGGTAACTCCCAGATGGGTGCTTGTAACAGACAATGGGACAACAGGTGAATAGCAATGAACAGACTACAGTAAGTAATATTTATTTATATAGCGCCTTTCACAGACCAGAGTCAAAGCGGTTTACAGTTGTGGGCATTAGTCTGTCTCTCCACACAGAGATGGGAGGGGCCAGTACAGAGGCACAGACCTATTGTCCATGTTTTTAGTGGTAGGGGAAACCGGAGCACCTGAAGGAAACCTACACAGACACAGTCGCGCCCTGTCAAAATCTTAATAATGCAGACAGATAAAGTAGGAAGGAGAGAAGGAGCCCTTTAAGGTTTTGTATGTTAAAAGAAGGATTTTAAATGGAATTCTATATTTCCCAGAAGCCACTGGGGTGAATTTAACACTGGAGTTATGTGCTCTCCCCTTTTGGTGCCCGTTAAGATCCTTGCTGCTGTATTTGAAAGAGGTGGAAGCTCTTTGTAGAAGATTTAGAGCACGCTGCCAGCAGGGGGGGCTACAGCAGTCAGGCCGTGAGGTGATAAATGTGTGGATTAGTTTTTAGGATATTACTGATTCTAGCGACGTCGCGCAGGAAGAAAATACGCCGTTTTTATTTAACATTCTACCACATTCTCGGCCGCTGGTGTCTCCATTTGGTCCAAAACCATGTGTTCTGTATTCTTTGTGCTGGTGATTTCAACGGTTTTGTCAATTACAGATAAATACTGTCGTCATTTAGGGCGATACAAGAATCAAGTGAATTGTGCGGTTGTCATAGCAACAGAGCTATACGTCCTTCAGCTTCTACTACAACAATACTACTGTCCCTACTACTACTACTACTACTACTGTCACTGCTGCTGCTGGAAGACTGTGAGAAGTGGGGGAAAGTTCACGTCCCCCCTCCTCCTCCCCACCTCTTCCCCCCCTCCCCCACCTCTCCTCCTCCTCCCCCTCTTCCTCCCCCTCCTCCTGGAGCAGGTCTTTCACGGTGACGTGCCCGACCTCACGCACTCCAACTGGGGTAAAGGTGAAGTGTAGAACTGCTGACGAAAGGCTCTCCCCGCGGCCAGAGGGGGAGGAGGGGGGAGTAGGGGAGGATGAGTGACGTCACCGTGTTTCAGTAAAAAAACCTTTATTTGAGGTCAGTGCAGGAGCTGTCAGAACCAGGTTTAAGGTGGATATCTGTGGAATTACACCACAAAAGGACAAAAATACCGTCTCTGTCTCAGATATTGTGAGAAACTAAAAATGAACCGATACTAACGACTTTAACATTTATTTTCTATCAACATTTATGGACATTGGTCTCCGCCCCTTTATGGACCAAGGAGCAGTGGTCGCCGTAGCAACAGCGCCCGGGACCCATCTCCAGGTGTTGATGCTCGGCTTGGTCAGGACCAGAGCTGGAGGATTTGACCTAGTGAGCATGTTTTTAGTGATAGAGAAAACTGGAGCATCCGGAGGAAACCTACACAGACACAGGGAGAACATGCAAACTTTAGAAAGACCCTGTTCCAACCGGGAATCGAACCCAGGACTTTCTCACTGAGAAGAGAGAGTGCTCCAACTGCTCCCACTGATGTCTGCTGTCGGTGTGTCCTTGGGCAAGACACTTAACCCCACGTTGCCAGAAGCCCCCGCTGAAAGACCGAGGCTATATTTTTACTACTACTACTACTACTACTATTACTACTACTGTGTCAGAAAATACATGAGTAATATCACAGAAAGTACATCTTCTCCATTTCTTCTGGGAATCTGCGGTGTTAAAAGCATTGTTGGAGGTGATGTCACATGTTCCGGTGCAGTGACGTCATCAGAACAGAACTGCCGTGTCCTTCAGTTATCTTCAGACTAAACACGCAAACAAAACACGCCGTCCGGTCGGAGATTACTGACACATGTACAGAAAGTATTTGTCAACAATAACAAATTCAAAACACTGACGTGAACTTGCGCTGCTGCTTCCACTTTTCATTTTTTATATATTTAAATTACCTTGCACAAAAGAGACCGTATTTAACTTTTTTACACTTTGCACATTTCCTGTTTATGCCAAATGTGACTTGAACTATTCTCCATTGTCAGATCAATAAAGTTTTATCATAAATTCATACCTTTCTTTGGTCTAACGTCAACCCCCAGGACTGTCCAAAAAGTCAGCCCCTCTCTCTGGTCTCTCTTTCTGGTCTCTCTCTCTGGTCTCCCTCTCTGGTCTCTCTCTCTGGTCTCCCTCTCTGGTCTCTCTCTCTGGTCCCTCTCTGGTCTCTCTCTCTGGTCTCTCTCTGGTCTCCTTCTCTGGTCTCTCTCTCTGGTCCCTCTCTGGTCTCTCTCTCTGGTCTCCTTCTCTGGTCTCTCTCTGGTTTCCCTCTCTGGTCTCCCTCTCTGGTCTCTCTCTCTGGTCCTTCTCTGGTCTCTCTCACTGGTCCCTCTCTGGTCTCTCTCTCTGGTCCCTCTCTGGTCTCTCTCTCTGGTCTCTCTCTGGTCCCTCTCTGGTCTCTCTCTGGTCTCTCTCTCTCTGGTCTCTAAATAAAGTTTTATCATATCTTCATACCTTTCTTTGGTCTAACGTCGACCAGTAAGATTCCAGTGAACCCAGGGCTATCCAAAAATACCCGCTATAATTCAATGTACTGTGATTATTTATTTTAATGCCATCCGTTCAGCACTTTGACTTTCCTTGTGAATGAATTGTGCTATACATATAAACTTACCTTGTTCACCAACATTGTCCAGGGACCGACGACACTGGAACGACTGGATTCGGGATTTTCTGAGCTTTAAAATGAGGTATGACATGTCTATAGTGGTTCAAGTTTGATGAAGCTGAAGTTGGCTGAATGACAAGTGATACTGCAAACAGTGATGAAAGAAAATCAGTTTTTGCAGTGGGTTAGGGTTAGGGATTCCAACGAGGTGTGCTATGACCGTGTTGGCAGAGCTGAAGTTGGCTGGACCATATGATATGATACTTGGGGCCACAATCGGCTCGCGGGCCCCGGGTTGGACATGACAGATCTGAGCTGTTACCGTCACAAAGAGATTCACTTTAATTCACTGTATTTTTGTATTGCCCTAAATCACAACAGTAGTTCTCCAGGAGGACTTTACAAACTTGTTGATTCGCCGACACAGATCAGAAAATCAATCATAACTCATAGAGCCGGAGGTCCATAAGGAGCAGAGACCAAAGTCCAGAAAAGTCCTGGATCTACAACGGACCAACATCAGTCCCACTGTCCAATCAAGCAACAAACCCTGGGAGACCGAGCCATCTCTGCTCCCACGCTCTGGAACTCTCTCCCCCTTCTCACCTCTGAAACCCTCTGGAGCTCTCTCCCCCGTCACCTCTGGAACTCTCTCCCCCCCTCACCTCTGGAACTCTCCGGAGCTCTCTCCCCCCCACACCTCTGGAACTCTCTCCCCCTTCTCACCTCACCTCTCCCTCCCCCACTCACCTCTGAAACCCTCTGGAACTCTCTCCCCCCCTCACCTCTGAAACCCTCTGGAACTCTCAGGAGCTCTCTCCCCCCTCACCTCTGGAACTCTCTCGGACAGCCCCTCCCTCACCTCTGAAACTCCCCCCCCCCCCCCCCACCCACCCCCCCCCCCCCTCATCTCTGAAACCCTCTAGAACTCTCAGGAACTCTCTCCCCCCTCCCCCCCCTCATCTCTGAAACCCTCTAGAACTCTCAGGAACTCTCTCCCCCCTCATCTCTGAAACCCTCTGGAACTCTCAGGAGCTCTCTCCCCCCTCACCTCTGAAACCCTCTGGAACTCTCAGGAGCTCTCTCCCCCCTCACCTCTGAAACCCTCTGGAACTCTCAGGAGCTCTCTCCCCCCTCACCTCTGAAGCCCTCTAGAAGTCTCAGGAGCTCTCTCCCCCCTCACCTCACCTCTCTCTCCCCCCTCACCTCTGAAACCCTCTGGAACTCTCAGGATCTCTCTTCCCCCTCACCTCAGAAACTCGGACTCACTAAACTCCTTAAAAAACAGTTAAAAACTCACCTCTTCCTCCAATCATACAACTCTTCATTCCTGCTTTTAGATTTTTAGCAACTTTGAGTTCTCGAAAAGTGCTATATACATTTTAAATAAGTAATCTTTATTTATATAGCGCCTTTCACAGACCAGAGTCACAAAGCGGTTTACAATTGTTATTTTTGGGCACTTGTCTCTCACTCCACACAGAGATGGGAGCGATTTTATTATTATAAGATAAAGAGATTATTTATTGGTCACACGGTGGGGAAATGTCAGTGTTGTATCACCAGTTACAATAACTCTAAACTAAAATAAAATCTAACTCAAGAAGCAAGTGTAAAATCTATAAAATGTCTATTACTTCTGAATCTCATGATGAAGCAAATATAAAATCTTTAAAAATCTCTAACTTGATCCTCAAACATTTATGATCCTCCAGATGAAGTCCTGACTCCACTCTCCGTCAGCAGCTGATCTCACATTGTTGCCGCGATGAAAGCCTTTTCGCGTGTTTGTTCCGACACGTAGCCGCCGCCTCCGTGTGCCATGAATCCTTAAACAGTGAAACTGGAGATCTCTCTTTTCCCGCCCTCCCTCTCCTGCCTCCTGACCAATGGGACGCTCCCTCCCCCCCGGCCACGGATCCTATAAAACCCTCCAAGCCTCCGCACACAGACACCTCAGGAGCCTCAGCTCTCATTCAACAAACCAAAACCAAACTCCCTCCCCAAAAAAAAAAAAAACCCAGGAACCATGAAGACCTGCCTGGTGTTCTTAAGTATATGCATGGCCCTCTGCTCAGCACGGGCTTCCCCTTTGAGCGGAAAGGCGCCTCTCCGGCTCCGGCTGGGGGGCCAAAGAGAAGAGAGTCCAGTTTGCCGCCTGGGACGACGTCAATGTCTCGCCCACGGCCTCCTCCAGCTGGGACAGGGTCTGAAGGAGCACGTGGACAAGACCAGAGTCCAGGTCCGGGACATCGGCGGCAAGATCAAGGGCCTGAACCGGACCGTGGTGGAGCTGGGGAAGGAGAGCCAGAAGTTGCAGCAGGAAGGGGAGGCGCTGAAGGCCAGGGCCCGCGGGTTGGAGGAGCGAGAGGGTCGGATCCTCAACGTGAGCGTGGAGCTGAGAGAGGAGGTGCAGCAGGAGCGGAGGAGGACGGCGGAGAGGGTGACCCGGCTGGAGCAGAAGGTGGAGGGGCTGGCGCAAGGCGAGAGGAACGGGGTGGACGCCAAGAGTACGCAGGTGAGACGGCGAGGTTTCTGGATCCAAATGATGAGAGATAGACTGTCTGTATCTCGTCCAATCACAGAAAGCTTTGGACATTTTTAGTCAAGTTTTTGTCGGTTTCAAGCAGTATTAGTAGCTCGCCAATTCACCAAATGCTAGAAAAATGTTGTTAGTTTTAGATTATTGCAAACACACAATGAAAAACTTACATTATCCATGATTGATTCCCACTCCTCCTTTCCACTTCTTCATATGTTTTTCGTTTACTCCCTTTGGTTTTACACAAGCGTACATATTTACAATAGTTTATCTACAAGTGTTAGCGACAGAAACAAGCAAACAACGTCATTTTCTGTCATTTTTATAACGTAAAGTCAGTACAGCACAAGATTTGAAATGGCTAGCAAAGAAAAACCTGAACGATAATTGACACAGCTGCAACGACTATTGTAAACGCTAACTTTGGAGTGGCTTATATGTGCTCCCTGGTTAGCTCGCCACTTTCTTACTCACCGCTTAAAGACGTAGCTGCGGGAGTAGAGCACAAAAGTCACAGAAACGAACAGTATCGATGGTATTAGAATGAATGACATCACGCTGCACACAAAAACCGGATTAGCGCTTTTTTCGGTTCGTTTTCTATCCAGACACATAAGAGTTAGCTTAGACAATGGGATTACAGTTTGCAGAAGTGACATGGATTGTGGAAATGCATTCACAAGGCTGCTAGGATTCCATCTCGCCATCTGGTCTCCATACGAAGCCAGTCCAAGAAGACAAACGCAGGTGGTGTCAGAAGTCAAATATCTCGGCCCAGACTCTAAACGCCAGATTATAACCCGAGTTAATCTCATTCCAACATGATATATAGCTGCAGAGAGCCGGTAAAGGCGATGGTATGAGGCGGTAGTGTTGCATAGACGTTGTCATAAGTCATTTTTGAGAGACGTTGTAGTAAACAGCAGGGGTACGGGGAGAACAGAAGGGGGTTGGGGTCTTGTAATCCCCCGTGAGGAGAGAGAGCGTGCAGTACGTGCAGATCGTGAAGCGAATCCAGCCCCCGACATCAGAAGGTCCACAGTGGTACAATACTGGCATGGACTTTGAATACTGTTCTTGTTAGCGGAGAGATTTACAGCGTTGGAGCAAGTTATGTAACCGACGTCGCATGTGTAACGGAGAGAAAGGGCTTTGAAGAAGGCAAGCCGTGTTAAAGTTGGGGTACTTAAGTTTTGACGCAGCAGAGAAAGAGTCTGAAAGGGTAAAAGCAAGGCCTCACTTTTCTGACTGTGTTTTAAAATGAACCTATAGAGTCTGTAATGCAATCAAACTACACACATAACAGCAAAAATTTTATGTTTTTGTTTGTATACTTGTAAGAAAGAGCCCTGTGAGTCACCTTTTGACTCTTTGGGCTGAGAGCTGATTGGCTGAGTGATCGCGGTCCTCTCTTTTTCTCACATTTCTACCCGAAAAAGCAGATTCAAAGCAGTGAAAGAGGCTGAAAAATACTTGTAAATATGCAAAAGTGCTGTTTTGACATTGAGCGACTGATTTTTCACGACTGTAGTTAAGTTTCTGTGCTTTTAAAAGTTACAATATCTCAGCTTTAACAGTCTGTACTTTCTCTTTTGTGTCTTGCAGATGATGCTGGAAGCTCAAAACAAACGCATTGACGATCTGATGGAGCGGATACGGCTGCAGCAGGAGAAACTCGACAAGCAAAACGTTCGCATTCGGACTCTGCAAACACAGGTACAGACCAAACGCAGACACGCAAAGTTTTGTTCAGCGACATTTTTAGTTCTTGTCGTTGAATTTGCGGCTTGTTTTTCCAGATTCAGCAGTCGAGACAGAGAGTAGAAGCCCCTCGCAACGACAAGAGAAGCGCCGTGATGGAGCAGAGCGACTCCCCATGGCCGGTGAGCACCAAAACTCTTCACCCAAGAGTCCGGGTTTAATCCAGAGAAATCTTACTCATGCTGAAGGTGGAGGAGGCCATCTGTTTGCGTAAATACCGGAGATTAGATCGTCAGCAATTAAAGTCAAAGAATCGATTAGAGGGAAAGCAGCGGGACGTCACACGGTATTTAGTGGATTAATTCATTGGAGTGTGTGGTGTTGGAGCAGGGCCGTAGCGGTGGGGGGGGGGGCGAGAGGGGCGAGAGAATGGGGGGCCCAAGACAAAAAATAAGTGCGGAACGAAAATGGCAACTTCTACAGTACTTTTTAAATTATAAACTCATTAAATAAGCGGTGTAGTTTAGTTAAGGGCTTGGTAGTGCGGGAAAAAACACTGGCAAGGTTTTTTGGGGGAGTTTGGCGCAAAGGGAAAAAACACCTTAAAAATGGACAAATACAAGAAAAATATTATTATTTTTAAATTATGGGTGAATTTATGATGGGTTTTAAACAATGGGCAAGAGTCAAATTAATGGCGTGGACTAACGAGTGAATGTATTTGTAAAAAAATAACTTCTTGGGGGAAAAAAAACAGCAAATTTAATAAAATCGGATTATAGGACGGTCCTTAAAAAAGTTATTTTTCTACTACTCTGTGTTGTTAATTGTAAGAAAAGAAAAACTGTACTGAAAATGTATCTTGCTTTGAGAAATGCAAGATCCAAAACATAAAATTCTTGAAAAAAAAATGTAAGTTATGGCTTGAACAAAATGGTTCTTATAGACTTTTTGGTCTTCAAACTAAATTTCTCAATGGAGGCCAAACATATAAGGATATAAAATTATGCTTCTGATCTTAAAAGTGGATTAAAGTAGACGCAACTCTTTGATCCATTTGGTGAATTCTCTACAAAACCTTCAAATCCAGATATATTTTGTCTTTTACCGTGTGGAACTTCTGACCTCTCATTCATCACTATTTGCCTCGAACGATGGAGCCTGCAGTGACCTGAGCTAAGTCCCATGTCCTGGTTAATCAAACAGAGAGTCACCTAATATCAAGTTAGAAATTGGCTCCGAGGTGAAAGTAGAGGAGAGTTCACCAACTGCTGCTGCTGCTGCTGCTGCTGCTGCTGCTGCAACAGGCCTTCTCTGTGACATCAGCTTCAGGGAGAAAGAAACAAAAACGCTAATTTCTTTGGCCATCCCGTCTCAACTGGGGGAAGGTTCGCCGGTCCTCGCAAGGGTCAGAAAACCCATGGGGGGATTACAAACCAAAGGCTGGGAGAGAGAGGGGGGCGAGGGGCGGGTGAGGGAGGGAGGAAGGGGGAGTTTTAACACTATTTAAAGAAAAAAAAAAGGGTCAATTTATGAGGAGAACTGAGGCTATATTTATCCAGGGACCTTTGTACAGACTTCCAACTCTCCTCCCACTCCTGAACCGCAGTCATGGAGCTACCTTTGGCCCAGTTTGGACACAGACAGACACCCCCCCCCCTGCCCCCCACCCACCCCCGTCCATGGCTATGATTGTTCTCACGTAGCAGTAGCATTTTTTCACAGTGAGAGAATTTACAGCTGACTTTTTAAGAGTCTGATGTATTCATTTGCTATAGTTTTCATTTCAGTCGGCCCCAAAAGTACTGACTCATCTCTCCGGGTCCATCACTTAATAACAATACAATATTTAGAAATGATCAAAACAATGTCAAAAACAGATTAGCAAAAAAGTAGAGATTGCTGCTTCTTTGCCCCTTTTACAGAAAAAAACTGATAATAATCCTGGTTGTTTTTTAACTGGGGGGAACACTTGTGCGTCCCTCAGGTCAAAATCACCCACATATGAATAAAAATGGGAAAAAAATATCTAAAAATTAGGGTCTAAATGACTCAGAGGTCGGATGCGCGAAGGAGCGGTTTGATAAGCAAGAGAGGAGGGAGGCCGGAGGAAGGGTGGGAGGGAGGGCGGGGGGGCGGCGGATAGGGAAAGACCCGCCGACCGCGGTAAGTCGGGGGAGGGGGCAGATGGGGTAGGAGAGCAGACCGGAGCGAGCGCGGTGATGGCGGCGAGCACGGCGGGAGCCGGGTGAGGGAGGCAGACGGGGGAAAGGGGGAAGAAACAGACAGCCGGGGGAGGCCGTCGTGGGGAAGGACAAAGGCCAGGACTGCGGGGGGTGCCCGAGAGGGGAGGGGGGAGGCCCGTAGGGGGAGGTGAAAGAAAAAACGGGACCGGTCAGGAGACGCGTGCGGGGGGCCACGTGGACCGGGTTCGAGGAGGGGGAGCGAGATGTGGGAGAAGGGGGGGGGGA